CCAGGGCGTGCACCAGACTCGGAAAGAGGGCTTGGCATGCTCTCTTGACCAACCAGAAGCCGAAAAGAATCCCCTAGCGGTGGTAGTGAGAAACAATTCTGATCAAAGGTATATGTTCTTATATGGTTTCATTAAGAGCGTAAGAGTCAGGTTTAGTAACTTTTTGTGGATGAAAATAGGGTACACGTGATGTTTCGATCATGATCATGCAGAAGGATGTAAGAAACGAATGCGCCGCTCAACTCTGTTTTGCTCGGACAGAGTGCGACCGCTCGGACGGCGGATTCCCGGCCCTCGGCGCTTGGCGTAAGGATTATGTCGATCGTTCCGCTCTCGCACTTTTCCACCATCATTTTGGATGAGCGTGATTGAAATCACGTGTTCCATATTTTCAGTCACCAAGAGTTACTCCGGTGCACTAACCAGGTTTGCTTCTCTCGACCACCGCCAGGGTATTATTTCCGGCTTCTGGTTGGCCACATTCCATTTGCTGAAGACCCCTCTGGAACACGCCCAGCCTACTTTCGGCCAATGGCACCCTCCTGATTTGCCTCCTATACTTCCCAAAGAATGGCCAAACTCTCTACATATCTGGCTCTGCCTTTACCGACGAATTAGACCGCGTCCATTCTACCCGAACGACCCACCCCCAAGGAGTGGCGAACGCCTTCACGACATTGAGGAGTACCTCCGACGTTCAACATCCTCAACACCGCTTTTCCGCCGTGAATTTCGCTCACCATCGCCAAAACGTTCAGCGCTTTCAGCGCCACGACCCCGCCGAGACAGCGTGTCTCCCATGCGTCGTCGGGAGAACTAACACCAGCAGTGTTTGGATGCGACGTTGCTGTACATCACCGACGTAAAGAGCCTTCAAGAACGTCGGAGGCCTCCCACTCGACCGTCGACGGGCCTTGGAGTCACGCTTCTGTAATGGTGCCCAACACCCTCAACGTGACCATTGATGGCCGCGACGCATCGGCACTTCTGGACACCAGAGGAGACTACTCCGTTTTGAATAGGAGGCTTTCACGCCGTTTTCGGAAATTGACAATGCCGTGGGAAGGCCCTCAAATCCGAACCGCTGGTGGGCAACTCACCACACCAGCCGGTGGATCGACTATTCGCGCCGACATCCACGGTGAGACGTGCCCTGTGAAGTTCGTCGTTCTGCACGACTGTGTGAGGGACGTAATTTTCGGAATGGACTTTCGCTGCGAATATGGCGCCGTCATCGACCTCGGAGCAAATCGGCTGACGCTACGAAAACCTGTTCCACCACCGGGGGAACCCAAAGCGACGACATCCGTGGTCCGACTCCTCGAAAACCACGTAAACTTACCGCCGCGGTCGAGTGTTTTTGTACCCGTCGGGATCAATGAAACTTCCTGCGGCGAAGTGCTGCTCGAGGGAAGCCTCCAGTTTGCTTCCGGAAAGAGGATTCGGTGCCGCAAGAGGAGTAACAAAATTTTAAGACGGGCGCTACATGGTCCTGGTTACAAATGCTCGGCAAGAGCCGCAGCACCTTACGAAAGGTATCGCCGTGGGCCTTATCGATGAGCTCGAGAACTCAGCCGCAATCGCTGCACATTCGGAAAAGTTGACTTCATCGTAGCACGAAAGAACGCCGTCCTCGGAACTTGACATCGACCCGAAGCATCCAGACACTGAACGAGGAAGGCTGCTTGTCTTGCTGAGCGAATTTCGCGAGTGTTTTGCAACAACATCAAGGGTGCGACAGACAACGGTAGCGAAGCACCGCATCATTACTGACGACAACGCGCTCACTATCCACCAGTCGCCGTACCAAGTCTCCTTAAAGGAAAGGAAGGTGATTCAAGGTCAAGTCAAGGAAATGCTTGACGACATCATTCAACCCTCAAGAAGTTCGTGGGCATCCCCAGTCGTCCTTGTAAAGAAGAAGGACGGAACCCTGTGGTTTTGCGTAGACTATCTCTCGTCGACTGAACGCTGTGCCTAAGAAGGACGTTTATCCGCTCCCCGCACCGACAATACGTTAGACCGACTCTGGCACTCCCAATATTTTTCGTCGATGGACATGAAGAGTGGCTACTGGGAGGTTGAAGTCGACAAACGAAACCACGAGAAAACTGCGTTCGTCACTTCCGACGGTCTGTACGAGTTCAAAGTGATACCATTCAGACGTTGTACAGCACCAGCCAGCTTCCAGCGTGTAACGGACATTGTGCTGGCAGGTCTGAAATGCCAGAGCTGCCTCGTCTACCTGGACGATGTCGTGGTATTCTCACGAGATTTCGACGAACACCTGAGATGACTTCGAACCGTGCTTCAAACGGTCAAGACCACCTACCTGCCTGCCACTCAAGCCCACAAAGTGTCGGTTCGCGTATAGTTAACTAAAGTTCCTTTGCCGCCCCGTGAACCACAAAGGTGTTTTTCCTGACCCCGAGAAAACCCCTCGCCGTAGTTGCATTTACGCCGCCGTCTGACAAGAAGGCCGTGAGAACATTTCTCGGACTCTGTGATTACCACAGTCGATTTGTTCGTGACTTCGCCAAGATGTCCGCGCCGCTGACACACCTCACGAAGGACGCCATAAAGATTGAGTGGACAGAAGAATACCAGCGGTCGTTCAACAAGCTCAAACGAAGACTCCAGACGCCCCCGTTTCTGGGCCATTTTGACCAATTCGCTGAAACAGAGATCCTTACCGACGCCAGTAACACAGGCCTGGGTGCGGTACTAGTCCAAAGGCAAGACGACGCAGAGCGAGTCATCGCATACGCAAGTCACACGCTGTGTAAGGCGGAGAAGAACTACTCAACGACTGAAAAGGAGGGCCTTGCTGTCGTCTGGGAAATACAAAAGTTCCGTCTATGTTTGTATGGACGTCCTCTTCGCGTTGTCACAGACAATCACTCGCTCTGCTGGCTGGCGAATCTGAAGGATCCCTCCGGACGAATCGCCCGGTGTAGCCTTCGACTGCAGGAGTTCGACATGACTGTGGTGTACAAGTCTGGCCGGAAACACAATGACGCCAGCTGCCCCTCAAGGGCCCCCTCCGAGGCCGGTCCTGCCTGAACCGAAGACGACGACGATGGAGGTCTCCTTGGCGCTCAGGATCTCAGCGACATGCAGCCCTCCAACGAGACGGCCCTGAACTGCGAGCACTCGTCGAGCAACTAGAGGAACAAGGAAGCACTGTCTCCCGCGTTTCCATACGAACACTGCCAATCTTCTCCGTCGAACAAGGTGTGCTCTACAAAGAGAACTTCGGCGACAACAACATGGCGTGGCTGTTGGTGATCCCTTCCAGTCTTCGAGAAGAAATATGTTAAGCCTACCCCAATGACCCGGCGGCGGGACACCTTAGCTACATATAGCAGGGCTCTTGCCAAGATCCGCAAAAAGTACTACTGGCCAAGCTTGCGAAGGTAGTCCATCACAACACCCGATCTTGCCACGAGTGTCAACGACGAAAGAAACCACTGACGAGACCGGCAGAGCTTATTTAGCCCTTTGCGCCGCCATCTGGCCAATTCCAGCAAATCGGAATGAATTTATTTGTACCGTTGCTATCATCGACGTAAGAAAACATGGATAATCATCGCGACCGATTATTTCACATGGTACGGTGAGGCCAAAGCCCTTCTACAACGTACGGCTGTTGAAGTCGCCAAGTTTTTCATTGACTCTATTTTCCTCCGGCAGGGCACCACCGAAGTCCTCATTACAGGCCGCGGGTTACCGTTCTTGGCTCAGCTGACGTAAAGAGTCCCTCGTATCAGTAGCACCAGCCACTGTCGAACCACTGCGTACCAACAGCAGACGAGTGGCCTGACAGAAATACTAAACAAAACTATCGCCGACTTCATCTTCATGCATGTCGATGCAAAGCACAAGACGTGGGACGAGGCGTTACCCTACGGCACGTTTGCTTACAATACGGCGGTGCAAGAGACCTCAGGCGTAACACCGACTCAGCGGGTGCATGGCCGAAAAGTAACGACCATGCTTGACGCGATGCTGCCCCAAGAACCAGCTGACGCTCGGAGCCACGACGAACATTTGGTGATTCAACGAGCTGAAGAGGTTCGTCAGCTCGCCTGACTCCGGATTCAAGTTCAACAGCGTGTCGACGCCACCCAATACAACCTTCGTCGAATCGACGTTTGCTTGAAGCCCGTAGTCCGTGGAAGGGTCTGGACCCCGATACGACGTCGCGATCTAAGCGTGAAACTCCTGAAGCTTACTCCGGACCCTACAAAGTGCCTCGTGGACTCGGAGATTTGAACTTCGAGGTGATGCCCGACGGAACACGAACTTCATAACGCCGCACTCCACGACCGGAAGTGGTCCACGTCGTGCGCCTCAAGCCGTACTACGATCGATAGTACTGTGAACTGTGTTTTTGTAATATGCTCGATAGAACTGTGTTTTACATCCTCCATAATTTGCCAATATTTTTGTTTCTTTTGCTGCTTCATTTCCTACCAAGTTGTATCAAGGCGATTCTCCTTTTAAAGGGGGGAGTAATGCCACACGCGCCAGTGTGCGAGCGCGTGCGTGTTCGAATGGCTAGCCGGCTCGGCAAACGAGAGGAGAATCAAGGTTCGATTCCAGGGAGCGGAATGTTCTTTTATTTATTCTTTTTACTTGACGTTCTCGTAAGTTCAAGAACCTTCTCGTCTGATCGAGTTACGAATGTCCTACGCGCCGAACGTTCTACGCCGAGTGTTCCAGAAACCCACGCGGGTACATAAGGTGCTCCGCGTGGGGAGCCGGAGTCAGTCTCGCCCCAGAGCTCGATCTTGCTGTCAGGCCGCCATCGACGCGTGTGACGCTAGACTTTCTCAATTTTGTTTTCGCGCAAGTTTGCGTATTAAACTTTTTTATCTTCAGTTCAATATTTAACGCCTCTTCGCCTTAGTCGGTGACAGTATGTTTAATGGACGAGTCATAAAATAAATATTCCTCTCTTCAATAGGCTGGCTAGAATTTCACTGCGTGGAGCTCACCTAGAACTGTCATGTCCTTCTGGCCGCCGACTGTATCGAAGGACGGAGCTTCCGCCGACACCTCGCAGCGGTACGTGCCGGCGCTGTGCAGGTTCACGTTGCGCAGGTACACCGATGTCCGGCCGGACCGTGCAAGCTGCGCAGAAAAGCACGGGGCAAGCTGAAAGCGGTGTCATTGCACAGAGATCAACATTTTATTTGTTGCACTAACACGCCTCTTCTTTGTGCCTTTAAAAAAAATTGACTATATATCAGTCAGTGACAGCTTGAGAAATGAAGGACGTAGATCATTATCTTCACGCTTCTTGCTTCGTGATTGGTTCTTTGGCTATCTTATCGAGGAATGCCACAGTCTCATTGGCCGAAGAGCGATAACGAGATGTTTGAGGCTCGCCACACCATGCGTGTCTGAAGTTGTTGATGACCGTACTCTCTAAAAAATGACTGCGCGTCTTGTTACCCGCAAAACACTTTAAGAGCCAATCTCTGCGATTTACGAAATCAGCTCAGCAAAAGATGAGGCGGGACATCTGTATAGATCTCAAAATTAGTTATGGGCTGTGGCATTATTCAATGAAATCATGGTGCTTTGCATTGCGCAATGCCATAAGGCAGACTTCATTTTTAGGTCTAAACGAATGTTCCGAATCATCACTCGCTGAGCCGAGTTCGTAGATCGCAGAGATTGGCTCCTTGAGTGTTTTACGGGTAAGTAGACGCGCAGAAATTTTCTAGAGTGCATAAACTACAGATGCGCTCCGTTGTTGAGAAGCCTCTCTCTTGGCTTTGCTACGGTGCGACCGACACTAACACGAGCAAGCGAAGTCCGTGCAGGGTTCCCACGTAAGGCTGAAGCTTTAAAAACAGTGGGCGTCAGTTCTTGCGTGTCAAGGAGAAAGCTGAACTGAATAATACCCTATCTACACGGACACCCTTAATCGGAATTAAGTCGTTCTTAACTGTAGTGACGCTTAACCACAGTTACCATACTATACGCTCGGACAGCAATTTCAGAACAAGTGCGCGTGCGCAGCTGTGATGTGCGCTTAAGATGCGCAAACACACGTGCGTCCGTAGCTTTGACTGCATAGCCACACCCAGTTATTGAAAAGTACCGTGTGGTAACCGCGGTCAAGCGTAACTGCAGTTAATTGTGCCCGTGTAATTGTGGCATAGACGGTTCTCTTACATCCGAGCAAAATTGCATCCCGTTAAATGAACAGAGGCCCCCCGATTTAACGGGATAAGCGTACATCGACGTCGACTCCGGGCAGCGGCAGGAACTGCCCCGGAGGCCAGTCGTTGGGCACGAAGCGGTAGAACTCGATGTCGTTCTTGTACCACTTGACCGAGTAGAGGCGGTCGCCGTTCAGCTCGTAGATGCAGCTGAGCCCCACGGTCTCGCCCAGCGTGGTTGGCGACGGGATGTCCACGTTGACCAGCTTGACCGCCGACACGGCCGCCACCAGGCCTGAGAACGGCGGACATGAATCGTATGCATAACTACACGGAGGTCAACGTTACAAACAATACCAATGCTTTAGTTTCAGGATAAATAGTTTTTATATCTTAACAATGTTACAAGTAACGGGACAGTCGTGACATAGTGTTGTGGCTTGTATCCACCGTTAAGTAGAACCGTTTTTCTATTGTAGGGATTCTAACGTTTTCATTGCGAAGGGAACAATTAAAAAATAACGAACACGTGTTTTGTGTTATATATATATATATATATACATATACATATTTGTGTGTTTTGCGTTTTTATATATATATATATATATATATATATATATATATCTTGTAGCAGAAGTCGAGTTCAGTGATGGGAGTTTATTATTTACACGGGTATTGGAGATAGAATTCAAGATGACTGGTCCCGTATATATTGCCGCTCGCTCAGTCTGCCCTTCTTTCTCCTCTTGCCCCAGGACGGCGCGTATATAAAAATCGTTACATCACAATATATATATATATATATATATATACACACATCAGAGTGTTTTCTTTTACGCTTCTAAGATTTGTGTCTAAAAAGCGGTGAAAGATATAAACTGGGTGTTGCAGCCTAGAGTGGCAAAAATCACTAAAATTAGTGTATTGGAAGAAAAAATAAGTTTCTCGGGACCTCATTACTCGTAGTGGTGGACGTCAGAAAATGCGCGATCCTTACTAATTATTTCGCTGATTAATTAAAAAAGAACTAACGACCTTTTTAATTAGTGAAAAAAGACATAGTTCTAATTACAAAGTTGCTGAGCGTCATCGAAAACCATTAAACTAGTTTTCAGAAAGACCAATTGAGCGCGTGAGAAGCATAGTAGTGTGCTAAATTCACCACTCGTGGAGCAGGTAGAAGAATAGCTGTTGCGATAAGGCGCCCGCGCACTTTTTCCGTCTCTTATTAGAGCCCCAGCCCTCCGTACCTGTTCCATATATACACATATATAGTACTAGTTTTTCTTATTTGTGGCATGATGTTAATTTATGTATTTGGAAGAACATATATACCGCGTTTGGTCGGGTAATGGCCGGACTTATGAAGATTGGTCCTTGCGTCTACTTTCTTACCGAACACACATAGAGCCAGTCATCGCACTCTGCATAAACAATATAAAAAAAAAAAATAAAAGACGTTTACAAATCTCTGTAATGCGAAACTAGAGCGCAGCTCTCGAGGAGAAGGAGGGAGGAGGAGAAGGAGGATGGATGGACTTTTTCATAATGCAACGCGTGACGTGAGGTCACGTGACCTTCGTGAGGTCACGTGACTCTCGTGACGTCACGTGAGTCTCCTGAGGTTACGTGACCCTCGTGACACCACGTGAACCTCGTGAGGTCACCTGTCCCTCGTGCGGTCACTCGTGACGTCACGAGTCCCGCGCGTTGCATTGTGGGACATTTCCCATAATGCACCGCGTGGTTACGCCGACGGCAACGGCGACGCCGACGCCGCTCAAGCCGGAAACGGGCGCCTAAGAGCTGCGCTCTAAAAGACACCGCGAATAACGAGGTCGAGAACACAGTTCTCAGTAAAACTCCGATCTGAGCAGATAACATTTTCGAGTGAAAACGTTACCTCTGTCCCGTAAATGGCTGCCAGTTCTCTGCCGATCGCGGTGATTCGTGATCCCCATGCTCCGCGGGAATGCAGAAACGGGGGCCTTGTTTATATACAGCGCGGCTATCGCTCGAGCAAATACGGTGTTTTTTTTCTTCGGACCGTCGAATAAACAAAAAAGGCTTGCACAACTTGATGTTCTAAAATCGCATTTAGAGAACATGTTGAAAGAATAGTTGAGAGAAGCACCTTGCAGCCAGGCGACGAGAAAGCCTCCTCTGGTGATGCCGGCTCTAAGCCTCCGGATTCGGCTTGTCATGGCATCAGATTGGCCTCGGCCAGTCCCCTGGTTCCGGCCCAGCTCCAGTCATTCAGTCGGTGCCTCCGAGGCCGCTCTGGGGGGAACCAATCGGCAATTAGGAACGGCGTGTAATTACTATCACCATCCCTACCAGTTCGTTTTAATCATATTCTTGGTCATATAAAACAGGGATATACGTATTTTGGCACAGTTTTAAAACTTTAATTACAATGAAAACTGCGGTTATTGCGTAATGCAACGATTATCTATTTATTTGTCTATTTAATGTGAATATAAGCAACAAAAAAAAATAGCGAAGGATACTAGGCGAAAGTCCGAAATTATATATATTTTCGGGCCTCATAGGGTAGTTCACAATTCACTGAACTCTTTCAAGTTGAAGTCACAAGCAAAATGATTTCAGAATCAAAGTGATGAAGCGAAAATCGGCGAAGCCGCCAACCTTTGACAAGCGTCTTAGTGAAGCGTCAGATATAGTTACGTATAGGGGAATAGAAAAAAAAGAAAAGTGTTAGTTAAACGTCTATTGAGCCAGCGCGCCTTTGCTAGCAGTACACTTGACTACCGAGGTTTATACTTCGTATAATCACACGACCTTATACTTCACGTAAAACACGATAACGCAAAACAGGTTCACCTAGAGTTGATTTAATCCTAAATTAATCTCGCTGGAGTTATGCGCACTGCTACCAAAGAAACCGACCTAAACGTTTAGGTCTGATATAGGACTATAGTTTCCTGGCGTTCCATACTCAGAAAAGTATTAGGCCGAGGTCACACTGATCATACATATCATACCGAATATAAACTGCAGACACTGCCTTAGGCATGTTTTTAGTGTATAACACTTCTGTCAAATTGGTGATACAAGTAGTGACTGCAGACATGTTCGAAGCATACCTATACGTATGAAGCAAACGCACTTGGAACATGCCTCGGCGCGTGCCGGTTGGTAATTTCGTTATCAGATGTGTTTTAGGGAACCATTTCCGCATATCCCATACAGTGCGATGGGCCCTACGGAACGAACTGCGCAGGTGCTACCGCATAAGATTCGCGCATGCGCAGTTCGTACCGGAGGGCCCATCGTACCGTATCGGATGTGCAAAAGCCGGATCCCTAAAACTCTCTATTATGTATGGAACGAACGCCGGGTCTTTTTGCACAATGTACGAGCAGTGGGAATGCGGGTTTGCACCGTGTGAGGACCAGCGCCCAATCTCAAATTTCAACAAAAATGCTTTTTTTTTTCTTTTTTTCAGAACTAGTGAGGCGATGTTCGGGTTTAAAAGAGAAAAGTATTAAAAATCGTTATATCTATATTCAAGGACCTATATAGTGACTCCATGCATACACCCGCGAATCCGATACAGGGAAATTGAATACAAGTTTCTGCAATCGCGACACGGCTAAGATGTTGCGCAAGGAAATACTAAAAAACGCGTGATAAACGACCCAGCTCAACCGTGTAGTCTAAATATTTCTTCTATTTGAAGCACTAGTTTTTGTACGAATTAAAGAATATTCAATAAAACAAAAAACTGTATTAACCCGAACCTTGATCGGCTCAAATAACGCTCAAAAACCGCGCATCTAGTTTGCCCCGCCGTACGCGGGCTAGCCAGTCACTTCAGGCATCGCATAAATAACGAAAATTAATCGTTGTAATTATAGACATCATCAAAGTAGGCGTGTCCGAAAAAACAAATATATACATTTTTAAAGTAACGTTCAATCGGCCTGCGAGGCCCGTTATAAATTATACATGAATGTTTACGCTCCAATAGGTGGGTCCAGTTTTATTTTTAGTTAAGGCTATCTTAATTTTACGTCGAAGAGAATAAATTTAGCCACTGCAGCATTTCCTCTAACCTACGATGTTGAGCGTGCCTCGAGCAAAATGGATTACTCGACGGCAGATCGGTGCGACAACCGTCCTGACCGGCGTAAGTAGGTATTGAGCCCAAGTATTCGGACTTTCGCTTCTCGATCTTGCGCACCATGGACGTGCTTTAAGCGACGAGATGGGTTGAGCTGAGAGCTCTCGTTTACATGTCTCGCTAACGGCTTTTTCCGCACACATCCTTTGCAAAACACACGATTGCACTCGTGTCTGTTATTAAAAACTACCTCGGTTTTTTCTGGAGCGGAAAACAGAGCATTCATATAGTTCGAGGTACTGTCGCCTATTTTAGTGATCAGACAGTTTTACAACAGTACCACAAAAAGCACCGTATATAAGTTTGTTATAAATTCGCGGGTTCGTTTAAATACGGAAAAGAAAAGCAATCTGAAATATGTCAGGAGGAACAGAACTATGCGAAGCCACTTGAATTCTTAAAAGCGAATCGCAAGATTAAACTTAACATCGTTACTATATATAGTTATTGCGCAATACAAAAAAAAATGCAAACCCAGTTTTTTTTAATCAAAAATTCTACTATTGGTTTTCGTCAGAAGACGAAAAATTCACAAACATGTCAATTTTAAAATGAATGTTTGCATTACCGCAGTGCTCGAAGACTCAAAGACCCAGGTACACCAACCCGTGTCGGCAATTGAACCCAGCTCCGCAGCCGCCGTCTCAGTGTCTCCCCTAGCTGCAGTGACCGCTGACCAACGTCATTTTCCGAAACGCTGCACCGCCACCGGCGCTATTTAGATGCCGCAAATCGCAATTCTGCAAAAACACGCTGCTCGCGTCAGCGTCTATACTCCGTTTCAACGTGTGCTCTGGACCGCAGGCGTCGCATACGAGCCGTCCAGACCAGTCCAGTGCCGCGTGAGTGCGCACGTGACCATCGGGTGGGAGCGCATCTTCGACGTGCGTGGCGCGTAGTCACGTGACAAGTTTCGCAGCACTGGATTGGGTGAAATGACTCGTGTGCCGCAGGTCCGTCTTCAGGTTATACGAAGAACACTGGCCGTCATTATCTAGATCGCTCATCTCAATGGCCCCTTCAACAAGCACGAATCGATGGCGGACGAACGAACGTGAGGCGCATTCCCCGCCTTCCCTTGCTCCCGCTTTTTTTTTTTTTTATTTGTCTTCTCCTTCGGCGTTGTTTTTGTGTTTTTTGTTTCTTGCCGTCCGATCACGGAAGAACCTCGGTCACGCAACGCAGGACTCGAGCACCCCCCTCACATATCGCTCGGCTGGTCAGTCCGCGGGTCGTAGATGTTTGCTTGTGCCAAGATCAATGGGTAGGCGCACAAAAGCGTTCTATTTCAGTGCGCAACGGCGGTATGCCGCTAAAAATAAAAATTAAAAATAAAAAGTAGCGACCCGAACTACGCATGCACTTCCGTATCGAAGCTCCCTCTTGGATGACGGGCGATCATTCTCATTTTTTTTTTTTCCTGTGTAAGCGCGTTTTGGAACCGATAATGGACCGAGGAAAAATCGCGCGGGGCATCCTGCAAACAATCTATAATGCAGTATCTCAATTAGAACCCCCGTTCACCCACGCTCGTTCTAGGATTCCAGTGACGATCGACTTATTTACTCGGGTAAGTGCAGTTTCCTTCGCCGAAATAAAGGCGGCTTATGTCAACGAGCTGAGAATAGAATACACAAATATATCGTTAAAGATACTTTTTTGTTCTTCTTCTCGAGCCTGAGAGGCCAAATAACTCGGCAAGTGCTTTTTTTTTTTTTTTTGGGGAGTCTGAGGTACAGAGTGTATGATGTGAAACTGAAAACTTTCAAATTCGCAGATAAATATGCAGGATGCTTTACAAACTTTGGCGAATTTGATTCTGCACAAAATAAGTATCGCAGCAAAAAATTTTGATGTCTTTTCGGAGAGGTCCTATTTACGGAAATTATTAGAGTTCAGAATGATTCAGTCATTCGTACTTTTTGAGTAATTACCATCTTTAATTATTGAGCCTAAATGCATGTTTTCAATCAGATGGATGTTGGGCATCATCGGAAACTACAAAATCCATTCACATTATAACCATATATGCCACGCGCAGCGTATTTACGAATTAAAAGAAATGATCGATTTGAACGCGTTTCTAGGCTTCAGTTTCTTGTGGGAGCTCATCTATCTCCGCGTCAGCAATCCCGCTCAACGTGGTCAAAACGTGCAACAACAGGCGTGCACCAGCACGCATCGCGCGTAGAAGAGGCTTGACAAGAAAACCTCCGGACAGCCACGCGAAGTTTGCCTTTTCGGCGTTGGTACCAGTGTGAAGAGACACTTGATCCGATGCGTGGCGGCGCACGGGCGTCGCGGGTTTTTCCCATGAGGAGCGCGACTGCTGGCGCGAGGAAGCTCTCCAATAAGCCACTGAAACATTCAAACGCGTCGAAATATTGAGCCTTTCTTTAGAACACCATGAAATGCTGCGCGTATCTTATATATATATTGCCGCGCGCGCAGCTGGCCAAGTAGGCAGCGCGCGCGTGGCCTAACGGTTATCGCGCTTGCTTTCCACGCTGAAAGCCAGGGTTCGATTCCTGGCCGCGGAGGCACATTTTTTGTTGACTCTGTAAAGTAATGTTCTGGTAAATTCGAGAACCGTGTTGCTTGTTCAAGGTCGGAATGTTCTACACGCCGAACCTTCCACGCCGATTATTCCAGAAGCCCACACGTGTACATAAGGGGCTCCGCGTGGCGATCTGCAGTCAGTCTCGCCCCAGCGTTCGACTCTGCTGCCACGCCAAATTCGACGCCCGCGACGCTCTATTATTATCTTTTGTACTCTTTTATTTTTCGGCACAAGTTCGCCACATTAAACGTTTATTTCTTCCTGAAAAAAAAAAAAAAAAGTCACGGGTGGTGACCAAAAGAAAACAGGAAATAAACAGGGAGAAATAACCACTACCAGCGACATCCATGTGTCGCTGCAACCGCTCTGCTTGGCGGCGAGAACGCTCCTGGTACGGACATCCGCGAAATCATCCGGGAGGTCGTCCGGGAGGAACTCCGCCAGTTGCTGCCAGCCGCAAGTCGTCCAGCGACACTCTCCGTTGCCGAGGCTGTGCGCGAGGAAGTACAACGGGCGCTCCAACCAGAGGTTCCCGTCACCACGGTGGCACCGGAGGAACCGACG